AAAACAATCTTTTTTTAATTTTTAAAATTTGAAATATAATGTTTTTTTAATTTATTTTGTTCAATTTTAATTGATATGATATGTTAATTAATAAAAAAAATTTATTTTTTTATTTGAATGACCTTAAAAAATTCATTTGATAAAAGTTGATAATATGATTAAATTTTTTTATCCAATATAATTTTAAAAATAATTAATTATATAATTATCATTATAAATATTTTAAAGATTATTTTGTAATTACATATTTGACCCCATCTTCTTCCTCCTTCTGTCTTATCCTCTCCTTCCCCTGGCTTTTTTTCTTTTTTCCTTAACGAAGCCAGCTCCTGGTTTCATCTTTCCAGATCTATAGATCTTTAGATCTGATTCCCTCTTCTTCTTCTTCTTCATCATCTCTATATATACATAAAAAAAGTCACCAAAAGGGGAAAATCTGAGTTCGTTGAATTGATTGTGCAGAGAAAAATAGTTACCAGATTTTGATGATGTTCAGCTTGTCTAATTTCCTCCGATTGATCTTCACGTGCATCATAGCCGCCATCCTTCATAAAAGTATACAAACAAAATGAAATTATAGATGTAACTCCTGCAAAAAATTCAAACAAAGTAAAAGTACCAAAATCGAATTGATCAAAGCGTATTGCGGGATTCGCTATTTGGTTTCTCTCTGATCTCTCTTTATACCAACCAGAGAAGAGCGGACGTCGAGGCCGTCCACCAAAGCCAAGAGATCCTTTCGCGCCACCTCCAAATCCGAAAAGCTCCGGTGGAACTGGAAGACCTCGCTGACATCCTCCGAAGAAGGCTAAACCTCCTTCGGCTGCGGCGCCGGCATCAGCTCCGCCTCCGGCATCAGCTCCGCCTCCAGCTCCCTGAGCGAAAAGAGGGAAAGGTAGACCGCCGAAGGTGAAACCGGCAGTAACGCCCGTAGGCTGTTGACTGAAGTAACAGAGTACAAAGACAGAGAAGGAGAGAGATTCCCGCCCATGCCATGTTGGAGCCACGTTGGAGCCAATTGGATGTCAAATGTCACGCAAGCTATTGCACTAACGGCGTGACAGAGCTCCGTTAGTGGAGGGGCTAATTTGCTCCTTGCGTGGGGTTCGAGGGCTTATCTGCCACCTTTTTAGTTCAGGGGTTTATCACTAGCTGTCAAAAAAGTTGGGGGGCTTAACATGGGTTTTTGCCTTAC